TACAGCAGATTTAAATCAGAGCAGGGTTCTCATTTCAGTCCAGTGAGTTGCATTCAGCACCGTCATAGCTGTTGCCATTGCAGTTTATGAAAGCTGGATACAGCTACTACATGTAGTCTCAGAACCACCTGTTTTCCATTTCCATGTTGTGCCGTTAGTCTTTTTGCTCATATACATTGCCTTCCCTATACACAGGCCCTGTTAATTAGTAGAGCTACAGCTTTACTTTACTGTGTTTTCTGCCAAATGTCCAGTGGTCCATAGTGTCAATGAAATGGGAGAGAGGAATTTATAGGGAGAGTTCTTCCTATTATTCAGGCTGTAGCGTTCAGAAATTACTTAATCAAATTAATGCCATCACTTCTGTCACAACTGTGTTTTCCTTTGGTCACCTTTGATCTAATGTTGTCTCAGCAGTTCACAGAATCACACAATGGTAGGGGTTGGAACGGACCTCTGAAGATCATCTGGTCCAACCCCCCTGCTAAGGCAGGATCAGTTAAATTTTTAATGTCCTTTTGTTTAATTTGACTTCACGAGTCTGGTGCTGTGCTTTCTCCATTGCATTACTGCAGAGGAAAGCTTGGTAAAATCTCTGCTCCCTTTGCCCTAAGTTGCAGCTGGCAATGGGGTGAAAATGGATTTCTTTACAGGTTCTTCCTGTGGATTCTTTTCTTTAAAATACCAAAATTAAAAAGTTTGGACTCTTCCAAGGCTCAGTGAGACCTGGCTGCGAGGGTGAGGGGCAGCACTGGTACAAGGGAACGGGTGGGCAAACGCCTGCAGGGTCTGGGGCAGAGGCAGTGAGGGCAGCACTTGGGTCCTGTGCCTGGAGGTAAAGCAAGTGTGATGTGTTGCTGAGAGTCATCTCATGTAGGTGTTAATACCTCCTGGGCTGTCTAAACTGCTAATATATTTAATACCTTCCCTCTCTACTGTCATGGAGAGGAGGAATCAGCAGCAGAGCTATTCCAACCTATCCATAATAGGGCAAAAGACATTTTCTCTCTGTGATTTGTGCTCTTGGAGGGACTTGGAGTGATTTGTTCCCCTTGTCCTGCAGGAAGACAGGAACTTCAGCAGGGGAGGAAAGAAAGGGGAGAGGATCTCCTCCCTGCTATTGAAAGTATTGGCATTGATAAATATCACTCTACATAGTAATTCCAGATAAGTTTAGAATACTTAGAAGCAGTAGTCAGTAGGCATATAATTCTAGCTCTGATAACTTCTATTTCATTTTGAAATCAAAAAGAGTATCTAAATGGGAGAATAATTTGAGAATACGTTCTGCCTACTGTGAAACAGAGTAATTTAGAAACTATTATTTGCATACCTATTACATCTATTAAAGCTTCTTCGTAATGCTAGTTATGCACAAGGAGACAAGTTCTAAAGGGTTTCTGAAAGTACCTTGGTTTATGAATGCTGCTTACTCAAAAATGCGAGATTTGAATCTGCCAATGCTCTGTATAAAATATCAGCTGGGCCTGTGTAAATAAGTATTTAAACATGCAGTTTTGGAAGCTCTTTAAAAGCTTTGTCCTGGATGCACTTACCACTGAATCTATTTTTGAAACAGTGTTAAGCCCAGAGAAGCGATTTGGCCAAACTGCAGGTATCACTAACCGAGATGGCAGGACTTTCTGCTTATTTTTTTTCTTTCTTATTCATTAATCTATCTGTTATATAACATAAACTCTTGATTGAGGGAGAAAAGGACCATAAATGTCAGAAAATGCAAATAAGTTTTGACTTACATAAATAGACCTAATTTTTCAACTTCATTAGAATACTGAATGGTTTACTTTTGTTATCATTTTTCTGCTGCCTCTCCTTGCATCCCAGTCCATATTCAGCTTTGAAACCAATTGGAGTCTCTCAGGCATGCCTGTTGATGCTCACTGAAAACAGAAGCAGAAAAGCAAAGAACAAAAAGAGTTCCTTTTCATTATGAACATAAACAAAAGTTGTGAGGAAAGTCAATATACTGTCAAAAACTTTCACCAACGATGTTGTCCTGGAATAGCTCTAACCTCCTGTTCTGATCACTTTAGCCACCAGTTAAACTTCAGAAAGTTGACTGGCATGTTTTTAAAATATCATTCTGCTGTAAATGCATGGCAGTGTGCTTAATTTTTGCCACTATCACATTTGAGTATTTCAAATACTATTTCCTTTGAGTAATGAAAGTATGAGTCATTAGTTTGGTCTTTTTAATAATCTGTGTTTTGAATTTGCATACTTCCTCTGTCTCCTGGATATGTTCGGAAGGCACTGACCAGAATGATAGTGATACAAACACATTATTTATTAAAAGAACAGTATCAATCCAGTCACACGCTGCAAAGATCTGAAAAGAAGGCAGCATAAAATGAGGCATTTTTTGTTAGTATAAGAATCTAGTAACAGCATGTTTCTTGTCCTTCACAGTTAACTATATGGTTAATAGTTAATAGTTAATAGTTCAAAATGGTTGCTCAAATCATTGAGGCTCATTTTTAATGTGAAATAGCCAGAAAGTAGTTCTTGACTAATTTCAGATGACAGCCATTGTATCTTTTTTTTTCCTAAAAAAAATACTACTCTTAATGTTTTGCCTTCAGTTCTGTAAAAAGCACATGTTGCTGGCTACAGCTATTTGATACTGAACAAAAGGATAAAATGGCTGCATAAGATATTTAAATAACTTTTCTTCATGGGCTGTCTGAAGGATAATAATGAAATGTCCTATTAGGTTTCAGTAGATGTGTCACCTCCATCACATCTACACAGTAAAGATATTTTCAGTACTGTGTATTCAGAGAACTAAATCTTTATAAATCTGCTTTCATTGGTGTGTTATTATCTCCTGACCAGTTTCTGGTCACCTATCTAGTCTTAATTTTGTTGCAACCACCCATTCAATTCAGTATGACAGTTTTTTGCATCTACAGGTATAAAAACACTGCAAAGATGCGCAAACATTTTCATCGGTGTGTAAAAGAGTTCCTCCACAGTAAAAACTAGAACAAAAGCTCAGCTGCTTCTTACGTTTTCTGAAACTGTAAGAAACTCGCCAAGAAAGTAATGTTCCTTCTTTTTATTCTATTGAACATTTTTAGTGATAATTTACCGTGGAAAGAGAGTCATCATATCTGTGCTCCTTTTCCATACGGCATGTGCAAAGCTGCAAGTGCTTTACACCAGTACCTGTTTGTAAAAGTAGCTTCTCCGCCTAGGACTTCTGGGCTGTTCCTGCAACGCGTCGTTACTGACTGCAAGCCCTACACCCTCACGGGTAAGACTTGTCAGAGGAGGGCGCGGTTCGACACCGCGGGCAAGTCTGTGGTGAGGTGTTACCGTAGGTGCACGCAGATGTTACGCGCAGGCAGCCTTTTCTGTCCTGCTGTAGGAAAGGGAGAGCCCAGCACCTTGTGTTAGGAGAGAGCCTTCCGTTACAGCATCAACGAGTCGCAGCGAGGGGATCTGGGGGTGTAGATGGAAGAGGGGAAGAAGATACATGCCCTTTTCCTCAAAATTTCTGTTCCTTAGGCTTCTCTTTCATTTTTCTGACTTGCTCCCTTACTTTTTTCTCGCGCCTCCTTCCCTTGCTGAGTCTCCTTTCATCTCCCCTTTTCAGGTCTCCCAGTCATTATCTGACTTTCATCAACCCTCTGCCACATTTGAATTCTATTACAGCCACTTACAGTACCTCCTCACCTGTTCCTCTTCGTATTGTTCTTTTCCTCCCTCAGTATCCTGCCACAGTCCAATGATTATCTGTAATTCAGCAAACAAGCGGGAAAACATAGGTGCTACCTCCCTTTCTGAGCCTTGTAGCTTATTG